TTATTAAAAAACATGAACTTCGTCTAAATTTGAACGTAAGTTCCTCTAATATCTCCCGATTGTTTCTTTCAAGATACCCTGGAAGATGTTTCCATCTTTATCGAGAAATTTCTTCCAGCTTTCTTCAAGAATTTCTTCCAATGCTTCCCGATAGTATCATCCCGCTTTTTATAGAAGTCCTACAGGTTATACATCGTGACTTCCTTTGGAACTGCCTCTCGACTAGGATAGTTTTTAACACAGGAAAATTCCTTCAGATTTGTCCTAGAAGACTTTTCTGGCATCCTCCAGAAATGTATATTGCCTTGCCCAGGAAGTCGTTACTGTTTCTCCTAAAAGTTTCTTCCTGCTTCTACCTTCTGATTCCCGTCTTCTACTGACTTTGTCCGAAAGTTTCTTCCAACGTTGGGATATTGCTTCCATCTTTTCCCGAAAGTTTCTACTTGTTTTTTTCTTCTAGCAGAGTCTTCCAAATTCACCGGATTTGTTTCAACTATTTTCATCAGAAGGCTTTTCTGACTTCCCCCAAAAGACTCTTTCGACTTCCTCCAAGAGACTCTTTCGGCTTCCTCCAGAGGACTCATCCGACTTCCTCAGAAGTGCTCTGGCTTCCCCTGGATATGTCTTCTAATCCACGGAGTGTTTTTACAAAACTCCCCTGGAAATTGTTTTTGTTGAAATTCCGAAAGTTGTCTCCAAATAAATCAAAAAAGTAAAATACTAAAGTATTCTAGTAAAATTTTAGTGAAAATGTATGGCTTCTGTACAAAAAAAAACTAATATCTGAAAATTGAATAAGATTGCCAGGAATCGGAAAATGTAAATTTTAATAAATTCCCCGGATCCCACTGGGCTGGTCGCATGGACTGTGCTTCCAACTGCTTTTACGTCAAGGTGATTTGTTATTTGGATTATTGTCTGTCCAATCTAATGCATTTGTTTAATTCATTTGTAGACAGGTATAAGTGATGACCAGGTCAATTTTGAGTTTAATCATGAATTCAAACAACTCAGGAGTTTTATTACACATGGATTTCCCATTCTAATTTAGAATGCTGAGAACAGATAATCTATCTATCTCAACTTTATTTAGATTGTGAACCATTTGGATATAGGATATGAGAGGTTTTAACGATGAGGCCTTTCTTGGTCCGACGCTTATGGCCTTGATTTTAGTACCGTTGAATTTTTTTATCCAGTACCGCAATTGACGTACTGGAATAAAGGAGTACAATGGTAGTACAATCATTTCTGTAGGAGGTATAATACTTTCGACAGTCATGATTGTAGTACCAGTTCACTTCTTTAATCTAGCACGCCGATTGCGGTGTTGGATTAAAGTAGTACAACGCACAGAGGGATAACTAGAGCAAAAACCTGGTAAAAAGTCAAAAACACGAAAATGTTTAAACACAAGTCTTTATAGCTTCACTTCAACTTGTTTATCATGTTAGTATTTTCCCCAGTACATATTTGTTCACAAACAAGTTCTCCGTGAGATTATAATTTTTTCTCTCGTCTGCAGAGCCATTTTACAACTGCATCCATTACTTAGGAATATTGTTGTTTGATCCATATTTAATGTCGCATATTAAGGCATGATACACATTGGTTGACATAGCATGCAGTCCAACCTAGGCTGAACTCGTTTTATTAAGTCTAATTCATTGTTGGGATTTCTTTTGTCAAATTTCAAAGAGTTCTAATAGCCCTTTTCCAAATATTGACATTCTTTGATTGAACAGTGCTCCGCAATTGCAGAGTATATGTTCAGCAGTTTCGTTTTCAAAATGACAAAAACGACAGTCGCTAAACTGAATTTTTCAAATTTTTTGAAGCGATATCTGCTAGGACAGAGACCAATCATTAGACCAGTTATTATTCGAAGATCTGTTTTCCTAAGATTAAGTAAGATCCGAGCTTTGGCAGCACTCGGTGTTATAAATCTTTTGGCATATGTGGATGCATCCGTGGCATTCCAATTAGATTCTACCATAGATGTTTCCCAAGTTCTTAGTTCCATCCTCAGAATGCACTCAGGAACTCCACAAAAAGCTTGTCTAGACTTCCGGCATTTTCATTTCCTTCAATACTTTTTTTCTTCGTTTTTTTTGTTTAAAGAGACTTTACCCACTTTGGGCACTTTGTTGATAAAAGCTAGTGTGGGAAAGAATGCATTCCCACACTAGCTTTTATCAACATGTCAACGCCTTAAGCGCATTACGATAATCCAATAATATACAGATCTTAGCAAACCTGAATTTCCTTACTAGGCAGATATTCACACATTCAATGACTGCTTGAATTTCTGCTTGAAATACTGTGGAGCTATGCCCCATTGGTATAATTTTACTGACTCCAGGGATCTAGTAATTTCACCCATTTTCGACCGGTCTGTGTAAAATTCAATAGATTCTGGACGTATATTTGGCCCACTAGATTCCCATGTATGGCGATTTGATTTAACCACTTTGAAGGGAATCCAATCACCACTGTATTAACAGCTAAATTTTAGTTGAAATCTCAAGGATACTCAAATACCCTACCAGATTGCCATCTAAAATTTTATTTTGACGTTGGACTGTGGCACACTGCCTGTAATTTAACAAACTGATGCAAGGGTAGAATTTGGAGAAGGCTCGATGAACATTTCAAATGGTCCTATCTGCTTTGATCGATTCTCTTCATCGACTTTCTCTTTTCATAACCACTGCTATGCAAACAGATTTCGCGCTAATTCTACCACATAGTTCGATAAAGGAGGTTCTTATCTAGCGTCCAAAATGTCAAATACAACAGGGAAATGTTTTGCAGCTGAGTTATTGACGAAAGAGAAAGTCGATGAAGAGAATCGATCAATGCAGATAGGACCATTTGAAATGTTCATCGAGAAGGGCATCCAACGTAACAGATAGTGTACTTTTCATTGCCCCTGTCATTGATATACAAGTCTTTGAAGTTTTCTAACTTCTGTTGAGTGATTATTTCATTTATTTTGGGCCACCATATCAGTGAAGTATAGGTAATTTTTGGTCGAACTACTACTGAATATACTTAGCGATAACATTATCGAGGTGAGAGTTCCTATTTAGTTTCCGGTTCAAAGTAACTCCTAGGTATTAAGCCTCATCCGCGATTTAAATTTGAACCCCATCTAGAGTAGACTGTACCAACATAACTTGTGTTCTTTAAGTGAAAGGTACTATGACAGTTTTTGAAGGGTTTACATTTAAGCATTCTCTCCTACACCACTTGAAGAGCGCAGTTTGTAACCGATTATAGTATTTTTTATATTTTCCACGTACCATAGTGGTCACATCTGCTGCGTTACCAATCACCTCGAAACCTTGCTCCGTCAAGGAGTTCCTCCACTACTAAAGACCACAATAAAGGTGATAGTACCCCTCTTTGAGGGCAATCCTTCACCGATCTTATAGTTAGTTGGGCATTTCCAAGATCAGCAGATATTTCTCGATCTGTGAGCATTGCCACTATACAGTTAATCAGACAGTTATCCAAGCCCTTTGTTTCTATAGCTGAACGCATTGAGCTATAGGATGCATTGTCGAATGCACCTTCAATATCGAGAAATGCAACCACGGCCATTTTCTTGTATTTAAGCAATTTCTCGATTTTATTAACTACCGATTGTAGAGCCGTTATTGTTGATTTACCTGATTGATAAGCAAATTGGAATTTGCTAAGAGGTAACCTCGCTAAACTTGTTGATTTGATGAAATCATCTAGAATTTTTTTTCCAGATGAAAGGCTTATGGCTCTATAGGCTTTCGCTATAGCTTAATTAATCATTCCCGGGAAATTTACCAAAAATCACGTTTCCCAGTTCTCAGAAATCTGATTCTATTTCCCGGTAAACAAGTTTAGAATAATTTTGGTTAAAGTTACATGACATTTGCCAGAGGAGCCAAAAATAGCTTCCAAAGAGAAAGATTGGATTCTGAAGATCTTCTATGGTAAATCGGAATAATTTTCCAGAGGAAGTAGGAAGAATTTTCCGAGGAAACCAGGAAAATTTTCCATCCGGGGGAGGCTGGGAAAAACGCTTGGGGAAACCAGTAAACATAATCAACTTGGAAGAATCTTCCGGGGATGTCGAACTTTGGGGTAGTTTAAAACGATGGAATTGAACTAGTAATTTAAACCACGATTCTACCACTCACTTAAATTTAAGGACACTATACATTTTTTCCCGATCCGAAGTACATGACAGCCAGAAGGATTTAATTAGCCCGCCTTAATGTTATTGTACCTACTGATGCGTTACTTCTACCCTCCACACTGTTGAAAGGTTTTTAACAATTTTTCAAATTTAAAATCGACGTATTCTATACGTAACAATTTAACTACTGTAACCCTACTAATTCTACACCACATCCCGTACCAGGAATTCGGACTTACTGAGTTGAATGGAAAATATCGCAATGATAAATTACAACCTTGGAACCCTTAAAACTGTTATTTATCTAACTTTGATTAAGATTTGATGTAGACAGATAAACAATCTGATAAAATTGTATACAGTCGCTTGAACTGAGCAAGCTGAAACGTTGACCATGTGCGCTAGTACAATACTAGTTCGTCTGTCTCCAGTTAATCGTTCGTCTTATTTTTAACAGTCGGACTACATTTTCGTCAATGGACAGACATAACAGCTACGCTAATAGACAACACGGGATATTTTTTGTTTGTTTTTCAATTTATACCCATTGCTCCATCCTCGCACATTTCGGTATCGGAATCAAGTTTATGAATAAATTAAAACGTAGGTCCTGTGCCGGTAGTTTGGTAGGAAACTTTAAAATAAACCCTTCGTCCAATGGGAGCCGGTCACGACACAAAATTGTGTCCCCAACTCGTTCGACAGTGTTCCAGTGTGCCTCTGTTACTGCTACTATTATGGTTCCACCCATTTGATTGGTTTTCTAATTTATTGACTTGGACGATTTATTCTTCGACCGAAGTTCGAACCACGCGGATGCTTTCTCGCGACTGACCGGTTTGCGGGATGTTCAGGATCCAACTATAGTTTAGTTTCGGTCCAGATTTTTTCCCTTGCCCGTCTCGCTTGGGCACATGTGAGTGTTGTTTTTGACTGGAATCCACCGATTGCCCAGTTAATAGTTTCGCGGCGCGCGTGTGCTTCCCTCCCTTGTGTGGACTTCGACGTCACTATTATTTGATAAAGACACCCTCGTTCGATGAGTTTGCGATCAGTTTCGAATCGGCACTTGAACGGGTAACAAAGCGACTGACGACGACGGGGTGCTTCTTTTTAGTAGGTCGCTTCGGGATTAGCTTGTTTGTCCATTTACGGTATTAGGGTAGGTCGTCTGGCCACAGAAGAATGGCACGTATTGTTAAGTGGATTTCGTTGAAACAACCGGAAAAGCAACGTGTTTTGGGGTTGGAAACGGAAGCCGAGTATCGTGCACGGTGGATTTCGATTCGTGTGCTGTATTTCACCGGGTTTGTGATGTTTCTGGCGTTTGGAATCGTCGCAACCGGTGTGTGGCCATACCTGAAATCCGTAATGAGTTGTGTGCTTAGTGATGGAAGATAGATATCTGATTACATGATTTCGGTTACAGTTGGATCCATCTACGAATAAAGTGTTTCTGGCGTACATATTTGCGATACCTCCAGTGGGGCAGATCATTTTCAGCCCATTCTTCGGATGGTGGACAAACAAGCTGTCTTCGGTTCGCGTGCCGCTGATCCTACTGGTTGGAGTTTTCATTGTGGGCAACGTGCTGTACGCTGTTACTGAGGAGTTTCAGGACCACCGGAGGTACATTCTACTGTTAGCCAGAGGCCTGGTCGGAGTTGGGACATCCGCAGTAACAATATGTCGGGCGTACATTTCGTCTGCGACACGAGTTTCGGAAAGAACCAAAACTATCTCGTACATGGCGCTGGCACAGAGTATTGGTCTGATGATAGGACCCACATTTCAGTCGGTCTTCTCCGGAGTGGGAGAGGATGGGTTTAGAGTATTTGGATGGTTGCGGATCAATATGTACTCTGCATCCGGATGGATTTGTGTGATATTGGGCCTGTTCAACATGTTCCTACTGCTGCCATTCATATTCAAGGACAGTCCAATTGCCGTCAAGGAGGCAATGAAGAGTCAAGGAGCTGACAATGCGAAGGCAACATGGAAATCGATGCAATTGCGGTACTTTGCCATCGTAGTAACGATAGCGGCATTTTCATTGCTGATGTTCGTATATGTGGCATTCCAAGCGTAAGTAGTTACATAGAGGGGTTATTTGTGCTAGATGAATGTTTTTCACAATGACTACAGCTGCAATCAGCTAGAATAATTTAAATGACGATCACAATAATGGAAACGATTTCCTTAATTGATTTATTTTCGTGAAAACATTGCTTTGAATGTAACTCGGCATGATGTAAATGCTAGTCACGTAGCGTAGGCACTGTACAATGAACGATATATGGGAAAAAGGGAAAAATGCCAAACGATTTCAAGCATATGGAGACTTCTCGACATGTGACTTTTCTAATCAAGCCGTGTAGACAATGTAATGGAAGGGGAGATCGAGTGCATTCATACATTCCGCGATTTCACGAAACTTTTCTACTGATGCCTGTTTGCAGCCTTCCTCTTGATTCCTACACATTTCATTACTTAAAAGTATTCATTAATGATGAAGGTTTTAGCCATATTGAAATTTCACCCATGCGAAACAAAATCGGCTTATCTCATGAAATAGTATAAATTTTGACCCACAAATGAGTAACTGTTATCCACAAACTGATATAAGTTATTCATTTGTGGATAACTTTGTTTACCCATTCAGTGAGTTAATGTACTTTTATTAAAAATGGGTAAAATGTTACACACTAATCCTTACTTTCAAGTGATATAACCGAGTAAATCAACCTCATATGGATTTCCATTTAGTGCATGGCTTGATTATAGGAAAAAATATTTTTGTTTTTGTTTCTGATCTTAGGGTTTTACATGGAAGAATCTGTCTTGAAGTTCAGAAGGGTTTTTACTATTCTGATAAAATTTAAAAATAAAAGATCAGCGGAAACTCTGAGGCATAAAATTTTCAGAATGCATCACGGCATAATCGAGATACAATGGAAAAGGTTCGCAATCATTACGAACCACTTATGGTGAATACGATACCTAGCTAAAAGCATTGTGCAACTAAGCGTTCTACATACTCGGGAACTACCCCACATCTTTACATTTTCATCTTTCATGAAAATGAAATACTGGATCGGAAAAGGATTCCGTTGAACTAAAGGTATAAGAGAAGTTCAGATAAATTTAAGAACATAGTTTAACTATATACAGTGTTGCCCCATAGTTATTGTGGTGCTGTTATATGGAGCTAAAAATGCTCTTCTATAGTACATGAACAAACTTTGGGCTTGCTTATGAAGCTTCCTGAGTATTGAACAAATCGTACATAACTAACCTACTTTTGAGCGATTTTTTTTCTTCTATAAAGCAATTTTCGATCCCAGGTTTTTCGGGTTGAACATTGTTTTGAATTCCGTGGGTGTTATGACGTTGTAACACATACGAATGCATAAGTGGTATAGGCTCAGAAAGCTCTCAATGAACAACCGTGGAAGAGTGCTCAGACAATCAAGGGCTAATTATTAAAACAAAGGAAAAAAAAAATTGCTTCGAAAAACCATTTTCTAGTCTGGTAACTCAAATATCATTATTAGAAATGTGAATTTATTTAATCCTGGGATTTTGAGTTTTTAATTAGTTCGAAATCTAAATTATTTTCAATGTCTTAGAGCTTTGAATATTAGTAAGAGTCCTAGATCTTTCTCAATGACCCGGAATCTAAAAAAAAAATCGGCAGCTCTAATATTTATTTCTGAAAGTTTTGAGTGCAATTGCAATTGCATCTTGACATTTTCTGCATGTTTGGGATGAGTAATCTGTATGTTTATATAAGTTCTCTCAGAATATCCTTTTAGATCCCTTTGGAAGCTTCTACAGACTTTCTTCCAAATGGATTTATCTCGTAATTCTCCTCATTGTTTATTTCGAACTATCATCAGAATTTACTTTTTAATTAATTTTGAATTAAGAATATGAACAGAACTCCCTTGGAAATCGTTTCAAACTCCCTTTGAATTCTCCTCAGAATTCATGTGAAGTTATTCTTAAAATTTACCAGGAATTCGTTCCCCAAAATTAACATGGAATTATGTTTCGCTTTTTCTATGAATATTTCTCAGAATTTCATTGTAATGGTTCAACATATTCCATGAAATTCTCTTCAGAACTCCAATGGAATTCTATTTTGAATTTACTTAGCATCTTTTTCGAAATTTCCATAATAATACCTTCACAACTCATTTTTCACTTAACATTCTGCTTAAAACTACTTCTACTAACCTATAAATTCACTTCAAGTTTCCTTTACAATTTTCATAGTATTTTTCTACATTCCTCAACAAACCATTTGGATCTAGGAGATCTTTTCAATTACCATGATTTTTTTTCTTGGTCACTATGCATGGGCAGGGTAATGACCAATATAGAATTCCAGCCTTTTGCGCACTAATTGAGCATTCTTGAAAGGTTTAGTGAGAATTTCCGTTAAAAGAAGCTCATTTACCGTTTCCCCTTAGAATTTCTTTGAAATTCTTCTCAGAACTTTACAAGTCCTATGAATTCCCTTGGAAATCTTCTCAAAATTTATAAAAAGCTGTAGACATAATACCTTTGTAATCTATCACTTATTTTTTGGCTTTATAACGTCCTTACTGAGATCACTATGCCGGCCCTCAACTAAGTGTTCTTTGAGCACTTCCACATTTGTTAATTGAGAGCTATCTAAAGTTGTACCACTTTTTCATAAGTATAATTGTTTGGCAAGTATAATTACACTCTATGCTCAGGGAAGTCGAGAAAATTTTCAATCGGAAGAAATCCTAGACCGCACTGGGACTAAGGGAGGCCCTGCAAGCTATCCCATAATTCCTTAAAAAAATTCTTTGAATCCCCATTAAAGTTTTGTTACAACCGGCTTGAAATTTTAATCAAGTCAGAACTCAATTAGCTTTTTCTCCGGAACTGCCTTTGAATTAGCCTAAAATGCTCCATGGAATCTGTAGTGAAGAGAAGAGAGAGCTTAAAAGAGTTGAATAAAATTGTATACTTTATGCATTTGAATATCCGGCATCACGGTTTCTGCTGCAATACTTTGCAACAAACTAGTTATGCAACATTATCTTGAAGAAGATATAGTTAGTAGGAGAGAGAGAGAGAGAGTTTCAAATGCGTATTTGTATCCGTGTGAAGAGAAGGAAATCGCTCCGTTGAGAGATTTAAGAGAATTAAGAGTGAATGAAAGCATGAGAGTTTATGCATATGTATGAATAAGAAGACCATACTCACACTCTCTGCAGAAGGGGAGAGCGATAATCTTGGTAAACATGTATATGTGTTGGCATTGGGAAGAAATAAAGCAGAAACCCGAAAGACCAATTTTTCTAGTCATTCTTTAGACGATTTCCTGAAGCAACGGACGTAACGGAGGAGTGTTTTCCTATTCGGCAAAAAAAAAATGAAGCCGGGTGGTCACCACAGAATCGTTCGTAGATTTTCTTTTGAATTATCCTCAAAAAAAAAAATCGTTATTTGTAATCGTAATTTTTTTTTAAATCATACAAATTTGAAACGTTTCCATCGCCCCATAATAATATTCAGAATCTTAAAAATGCAAGAATTTACAAAACAAATGTGAACGTGGAATCCATCCTGACAACGTCAACAGTGCAAAACTTTCATTTTAGGTATATAGTGTCTTCGGTTGTATTTTGAAGGTATCCGTTGTTTAATTAATCCCCTTAAAAATGAGACACTAAAGATGTAGTAAATGACAATACAAAGAACTCTTCTGAAGACACAAATACTCTATCTATGCACACAATAAAGATATGGAGTAATTTTTACAGACGATCCTTTAAAATATGTTTATAGCTATAACTTTTTCTATGCAATTTTTACGTGTTTATTATGTTCTAATGAGTTATTTATCTTGCTAAAATACACATTTTTGTAGAAGTCAATCACTTAAAATTCTTTGTATCTTCGGAGATATAGTACATTTTTGATTCATATTGACACGTTGTTGGGCTAAATATATGTGTGTGAGTAGTGTTTCCATTTTCCGGCCAAGTTTGACTTCTCGGGAAACGGAAAACAGCTGTTGGCCCTTTCCCTCCGGGGAAACGGGAAATTTGTTTGTTCAAAGTCCAGAAAGATAATAAGATGAATTCATGTAATTTATTCATCAGCATGTTTTTTTCTTCTTAACTTCTGTATAGCGAGAATAGAGAAACACATAATTTTAATATTTTTACTTCTATCGGAAAATCTTCCCGGGCTGCCAACTTTTTTTTCTTGCGACTGCTTCTGGTCCTTTCAACTAAGGACCCTCAAGAGTTATAACCGAATTATCCCAGAAGTCTCTTATAATTTTCCTAGAATTAATAATTTGATTTATTCGGAAGCTTCTTCCAAAAACCCTTCCGGCTTCCGTGGTAGCTTCTTTTGACTTCCAAGGTTCATCCAACTTTTTCAACAAGTTTCTCGTTGTCAAGTTGTCATTGGAAGTATCTATTTAATCGTTTTTTAACTATCCCAGAAGTTTTTCTCCTGAGATCTCTGGAAATTTCTCCCGACTTCCTTGATCGTCATTTTGACTTTGTATGAAAATGTCTTCTGATTTCCTCAGAAATTTCATCTGGCATCCCTTAGACAATTCCTCAGACTTTCCCTAAGGTATTCTTCTGGACGTTTTGCATACTTTTACCTTCTTCTTCTTCTTCTTCTTCTTCTTCTTTACATTTCATACTTATTGCTATCGTATAGCAGATTAATACGTGCTCTCAACTTAGTGTTCTAGATGCGCTTCCACAGTTATTAATTCAGAGTTTTCGATGCCTGTTCCATTTTTGCATTAGTATTACCAACAATCAATATGAAACTAATGATTTTGAATTGGCTCACTACTTTTTTTTTTTTCTTTGATTTGTTTTCCGTCGATCTTGTTTTCCGTGCTGAGCACCAATGCTACCGAAGGAAGGCGTGATCAGAGATGTTATGCCTCAGAACATCCCGGCGGCGCCGACTGGGATTGAACCCAGGCCTGCTGGGGTGAGAGGCAATCACGCTTACCACTACACCACCGGCGCCGCTGTTAAATTGGCTCACTACTTGACTAGCCTATTGGTCCCAAGCAAATCGATGGGGTACTTCCAGTATAATTTCCAGTACTACACTAGGTTTGTTTTGATTCGCTATGAAAGTTTGACAGATGAAATGAGGGGTTCGTGGATTTTCCTATGTTTCGAGGGGTGAATCGATTAGCTTGGGACCGATGATAGTACCAGAGCTGAGCTAAAAAGTTGAGCTCGTTTCTTCGGGACCTTCTGGTCTTAGAGTTACCTCTATGGTATTACTGTGTGGCTAGTACAATCATACTATACGCTAAGGGAAGTCGAGAAATTTTCCAACCCGAAAAATGTCAAGAGATCGTGAATCGAACCCAGCCACCTTCAGCATGGTCTTGCTTTGTAGCTGCATCTTTCCCGACTGAGCAAAGGGAGTCCTTAGATGTTTGTCATGACTCTTCTGGGAATGATCTTTTATTTTTCACCCAAAAATATGATAATCTCAAGCGTGGTTTTTGGTTTGTAGATTCGCATGCAAGTTTATCATCTCAGGAGGGCTCAATGAATGAGGTTCGAGTTTGACTTTCAGAACCCTGCCGACATTACAACATCTTGAACTTTACTCTCGATAATGAAATTATCATTCTGTGATTATGGAATTTTCGCCAAGATCTTAAGCTTTAACAAACAAGGATCCCAAACTCTGGATTTTAAGATCTCTGAATCTGAAATGGGAACGTTTCAAGATTTTTTAAATTGTATAAATTTAAAGATCTTTTACGTAGAAGACTTGGAAGTTTTTTGATTTCTCGCGTGTGTACATTTTAAGTAAAAAGGAACACTTTCAAGAGTTATGCCAGAAGGAACATTACTTTTAGGAATGCACACTTTTTTGAGCCTATCGAATACCAACAAATATGTGAGATTCGAAATGGCACGCATCAATCATCATCCTGCTTTTTACTGCTCTTCTCCTTCGTCGAACACCAGGATATTTGAGTGAGACAGTATTTAATTGAACTGGAGCAATACAGATGATGTGTGATAAAAAACTTTTGAAATTTCGATCTGATGACCCATTCGGCCTAATGGTAGTCGACTGAATGGTAGCAGGCCTAATGTCAGCGATCAATTCGGCCTAATGACGTCCACGCAAAGAACACTAAATTGAGGGCAAGCATAGAGTTTCAGTTGTTAAGTATAATAAAGGGGCGGTCCATTAGAGGGATGCAAAATTTGTAATTTTCGCTCCACAGGGTTTGAACAATTCCAAATCGAGTTCTGATTAGTATCCTAAAATTTGATCTCATTTTGTTTTTGAATCATTGACTGTGCATTTGAAATTGACAAGGAAATCACTTTTGATAAACCGAACTTATCAAACTAACACCGCCATCAGGTGGGTGAATTTTTATTGTGTGTTAGTATGCGGGGACGAGCTATCAGTTCTAGAACAATATATTAAAAAGGGCCTGTGTGCCAAATGTAAACAATTATATTAAACGTCGATTTCTCGTGCACAGCAAATAATTAATTTTGATATCACTCTAAGTGGATGCACTTCAACCGTGTCAAATATATGGTGTAATATTACTTTCGAAAAAGGACAAAATTATCATTAATACAGTGCATGAACTGACATTACGCTGCTTTTACTGCATTTGTTTATTTGTGTGGCCATAAAAATTACATGAGATTTTCGATATGATTGAAGTGCATTCTCTTGGATGTAATATTAAAATTTATTTTTTGCTGTGTGGATAAGATCTAATTTGGCGGTAGTTTGCTCTATCAGCTGGTGTAATCAATGTACGTGGGTGTGTTGTGATTCGTGAGCAATCGACGTTCAACAACCGGTTTACGTTTGGATCATTTGCCCTTTTCACATGTTGCTCGAGAGTATCTATAAATTGACGTTTGTAATTATTGTTTACAAAAGCACATACGTCGATTTGAATAGATGCTCGAAAAAATTGCTTCAGAAAACATAGCGTTTACGGAACATGCATGAATTACAGCCTTTGCTTAAGTTGGTTTCAGAAGTTGTAACCGTAATACATATAGGGGGCTGTCCATAAACTACGTAGACAATTTGGGGGGGGGGGGGGTTGACAAATATGCACGACCCATACAAATTTTAATTTTTTTGTATGGACAACTGTCTACGCAGGGGGAGGGGGGGGGGGTCAAGAATCCCAAAAAACTGTCTAAGTAGTTTATGAACAGGCCCTAGGGTAATTGACGGCTTCGGCAATACCTTATTCTATTATCGTCGGGGGGGTAAACAACGTCCTTGAGAGGTCGTTTTTGGCACATTGTGTTTCAGATCATCTATTGGGCTAATTTGAATGCTCTACGACTTTGTTTACCCTCTGACGATAATAGGTTAAGGTATTACCGAAGCCGACATTTCCCCTAGTAAAATTCGCTACGAAAGGCGCCTAAAATTTGTTGAAAATATTGTACGTGATCCATACAAGCATTGTGCAAATTTCATTCCGCAAACGTTAGTTTTTTTACTTTATATCTGCGTTGTAAAATTTAATGCATTAACAAGATAACACCACTTTAACTTTCTCCTTTCCTTTCCAGACTACTCTCCCCGATCGCCTTGGATCAATTCGGCTGGAACAACGAAGAATCTCTCTTCTACTTGGGAATTCTCATGACGGTCGGTGCTCTAATCTCCTGTATCCTATTCCTACTGCTGGATCCAATGTGCAAGCGCTTCAGTGAATCGAACGTCTTAGTGTACGGTGCAATGTTTGCTCTCTTCGTCAGTCAGGTTGTGTTGATTCCATTCGGGAAGGAACCGATCACATCGTTCTTGAATGTAAGCAATTCAACGAACAATATCACCACCAGCATCGGTTGTCCCCCGACTCAGGAGTGGTGCCAATGGATACCACCTATAGGAAAGGTTCAATTCACGATCTCCTACACACTACTTTGCATTTCGTTCTCGATCGGAACAACACTGAGCCAAGCCGTGTTTTCGAAGCTGTTGGGTCCCCGGCCACAGGGCACATGGATGGCGCTGCTGACATGTGCTGGAAGCTTCGCTCGGATACTTGGTCCCGGATCGGTAACGCTTTATGTGATTTTCGGGACATATTGGACGTTCGGAGCCGGGTCCGTTTTAACAGGATTGGTATTCCTGTGGATGTGGATATATCGGCACAGTTTAGATCCCGTCAAACCTGCCGTGCAACCGGACTTGGCCGAGGAACTTAAAGTGCTTAATTCAACAAAGCTTAGACAATAGTAGGTTTCATACAGGAATTGTAGCTGTGATCTGTACGCATGAGATAAGTAATTAAGTTTTATTATTGTTTTGTTGTTACGTAATTTCTACGGCCTTTATCTGCCTGAAGTAGTTCGTAAAATAGAAAAAAAAAAGTTTATCGTGGAAGCGAACAAACATGTTATAATTGAATGAAAGGTCGCATGAGAAATAAAGGTTCATCGTGTTGATGCCACTTGAACTCTCCAGAACTCGTTATTGCCAAAACGTGACATGCTTTCCCATATTATTAGGTGGCATCAAGTGGCCATTCATATTTAACAGCTTCGATGATTTCAACCTTTACTGGTTTTCTGTGTGTCTCGTGTTTGACTGCGGAATTTTTGACTCAGACAATTTTGTTTGTTTGCAAATAATATTGTAACCTGTTTATGTAGGTCGGTAAAGAATGAGTCAACCTATAAACCATGTACATGAAACTTGCATGCAATCTTGTGTTCAAAGAAGCAAGTTAGGAAAGAAATTTCAGGCATGCGGTCATTCACAGATACCTACGCGGGACGCGGATTGTTGAATGTAACTCAAACAAAAACATTCAAATTTTATTACGAGAAACGCAAAACATCTAACTTCACAGAACACACTTGCGGGACTTCACAGCGAAACTTGCGGGAAAAAATCACCTAACCCGAGTGGATTACAATCTCTTCATGATGGTGTTTATTTCGAATCAGAATAGTACAAGACGTCCATCGAGACTGGAGGATAGATCAAATTGAACGAAAACTAAGAAGTGCGAAACATCCGAGAAATTGAAGGCAAGCGTGAGGGGCGCAACATATAGAAAATTATAGACAGTTTCTCTCTCCAAATACTTCAATAATTTGGTTGAATTTGATCAATAACAAAACTCATCCGATTCCTTGCTTGCGTGCATCATGACGGACCACATCAGGTGATTTTGGTTTTATTGTTCAACTAGGTTAACCACCTTATCAAAGGTATCAGTCGTGATATGCTTGAAACCCAGCAGATGATTTGTTTTTCATGATGCGTGTTATCATTATCAATACTGAAATGTTTTCATTGGATTCTTTTATATTTGTCTAAGGCTACTCCAACCAAGAGTAGTATTAAAATAAATGGCATGTGATATAAATTCTACATAAACATTTCTACAAAACGTATTTGTAAAATAGTTCAATATGTTGGTCTACTTGATTAGAATCTTTCAAATATGTCACATTTTGTACTCCTAAAACAGGTCATCAGTTTATTCACTACAGTTTGCTAGGCAAATCGTTCCTTGTCTTTGTTCCCTACGTCGGTCTTTAAATTCATTGCTTCGTCTACCGTGTTCGGAAGCTGAGTATTGAGCGTTTCCGGGAACTCCAGAATCGCAAGTCCAGATGCAATGCCGATGCTACCGAAAATGACCATCGGTAGCGGTGCCCAGACCTTTGCCAGAAGCGGTGTTTGCGGAGCGATCATTGAACCGATCCGACCGAACATTGAGCACACGGATAGAAGGCTTTGTCGTAGGTTGGTGGGGAAGATTTCAACCGTGTAGATGTAAAGCGTTCCAAAAGACATGGTGATGGCCATTTTGCTGACAAGGAACATGATCAGGCTGAGCCAGTGGTTTCCTGAAAGTAATAGCGATTCAGTGGTATGGATCGATGAAAGTGTATTCTCCTTATTACCTGTTGGTATGAATTCCGAAAGGAAGCAGAATATTCCACACAGTATCATAGTGGTACATAGCGTTACTCTTCGACCGACACGGTCCAAAATCAGCTGCATGATTAAGAAACCCGGCAGCTCTATCAGTGACACCAGGATGAAGTTTAGGTACTTGTCTCCCGCTAAAGTGACGGAATTCAAGCTCAATCCATAGTAAACCAGCACATTGGTCAACCAACAGAATGAACAGTTAGCTACTCGCAGAATCAATCGGGGGTTGCTGAATGCATTTGACAGTAAGCTAAAAAAGTTGTTGCCTTCCAACACCTCAGACCCAGACTCGTCATCGCTGACAGGACAGAAACTTTCGATCGCTGAAGGAGACAGAGTTTTGCCGTTCATTTTGGCGGCTTTCTTAAGAACATCAAATGCTTTATCTCGCTGGCCCTTGGAGAGCAGCCATCGCACGCTTTCTGTAGTCATCCACAGCAATGGCAGTGAAACGATACCTGGTATGTAGAGTGCTCTCAAAAGGTATCGCCAATTACGGATTAGCATAGCTAGTAGACCTAGACCAGCTTCGGCGAACGAGAATGCACATGAGATGATGTTGTTACCGGTTACACGCATATTTGGGCCAACCAGTTCTAACGCTAAGACAAAAGCCGTCGTATACATAGTAGACCCAATCAATGGGTCCAGGAACTCCAGTGCGATGAACATTTCATAGCTGGTGGAAAATGATCGGATTAAACCGATTATAGCGCTGCCAGCTACGCTGAGCAGAAGCACCAAGCGTCGACCGAAGCGATCCGATATGTATCCTGCGATTGGTAGGGCCACAAATTGTCCCACATTGTTGATGGTGCCCACGAGCGTTAGTTTCCAATCATTGCTTGGGCATGTGACGTTGAAATCTTTAACGATTGTTACTTCATCATCTTCGAAAATAAAGCTATCGCATCCAATGATTTTTGTCTGGTCGAACTCATCCGCATCGCACAACAGGTTATCTACGCTCGCATTGCTTATCGGTAGAAACCGTTCGCACTGTGCTGGATCTCCATGCCTGAACGGGACGGTGTTGTTCAACCACGCTGGATGGTAAACAGTAGATAGTCCTTCATCACATCCTGGTATCTCACATCTACAATGACAGAAAACGGTATTCAATTGTTGCATCATGAACATCCACTTGCAATGTATCTTACCTGTAGCTCAAATTTCCCGCTGTGAACACGTAGCTGAGTGTGAAGAACGCATTCAGAATTATCGGTATCACCATCAACCCATACTGGCGGATCTGAAACCGTCCGAATTGGCCAATCTCGTTAAGAACTCCATCAAGATCAATGTCATCTTCCGATTTCGGCATTTTTGCAACCACCTACGACCAAAATCAACATGCACTGCCCTTACGACACAGAATAACACCAAATACACTCGTGGTGGAGCGAAATGAATCAATCTATTTCAGGATCGGTCCGCAATTGGACGCATGCGCTTCGCCGGAAGAATTTCTCGCCGCAAATTGACACGCAAAGGTTTTTCCTCTTTTCCAGGAGTAGCTTCCACTGCACTGATAGACTTTGAAAACCATGCAACGTGACGGGAGAGAGTTCAATTAAACACTAATTGAGATCAATCGGCTTCCAATAGCGATCAATGTTTAGATCGGTTGACCGCCAAAGTCTTCACACACCAGCTACCGACAACCAACACTTAGCTCGGTAGCATTGGATACCCGAATGGGGTCGCGAAATGTTCACTTCCGTATTGAGAACGCGATGTAAACAGTGCAGTACCACGTAGCATAGAGCTAATACTACTGTCTGCGATGGTGTCTGTAATTGAACTGAATTGAGCGGAATTGGTTGCCCATATAGGCAATGATACCGGCGTGAACAGCGAGTGAACACGAGATTTCGTTATCAATTACCGGGCATTTACTTCGAGAGGAGAGTTTGGCGCACTTTTTCCCATCTCTTCAGAGCAGTGATGACCAAAGTACGGCCCGTGGCGTTTGAATTTTCATGGATGTTGTTATCTCAGTCAGAATTTCTTTACGGGTCAAGTGTCCGAGGCAACTGAAATGACCTCTTGCGATTTGGATCGGAGCACCCCTCACTCAAGGGGAGCCTTTTCTATTTTTCGTAATTTTCAAGAAAGCACTACTTCATTTTGTTAATATCTCCGGAATTAATGAAGCGCTTTCTGTAGCTTCAACTTTTTAAAACCCGTCGTTGGAGATGCTTAACGTCAAATATCAGACTTGAAGTGGTCTTTTTTTATACGATAGATGAGGAGATGAAAGTATAGAGTTGATAGTTCCGTTAGATTATGGCAGTGTGAAAATTGTATATAGAGAGTAGATAGAGAGCAAAGATCAATTTTGAGGAAGGCACGAATCGAGTTGGTTGAATGAGTCTGATATTAAATTTTAACATTATGCATCTCCAACTATGCTTGGCATACACAGTTGTACACGCCAACTGGTCATTTGTTAATAACTTTTTACTCAGTTATTGAAATTTGTTTTTCTTTAAAGTAATTGATAGATTAGGATCATAGCTTACTAAAGATATGCTAAAAGTAGATAAATCTTAACATTTGAATCAATACCAATGATTTTTTACTCTCAAGTCGCAGATGTGCAGCGAGCATTTTTCACTTCATTTTTACAACGCAAAAACAAATACAGTTTATTACCAGAACTAAAATCTACTTTGTTTTATGTACCTATAACAAGCTTAAGCTCCATTCTATCTACTGCTTCAAAAATAACTATATTTCGTCAACTCTGTGTAAAGTTATTAACAAATGAGCACTTGGTGTGTACAACTGTGTATGCCAAGGTCCAACTATGTAAATCGTTAACTTCACGCATGGAGTAACACAAACATGATTAGTTAAAGTACATAATTCTACATGGGAGCTTACCATCAATCATACTGTCATTGGTCGATAGTTACAGTAATTCTTCACGTGTACGCTCATTTAGGCTGTCCCCAGCTCCCTCATGCGTCTCATATAATTTGAGCGGACCCTTTTTGCATCTTGCATGGAAGCATTCGGCCTGCTAGTGACCAAATGGTGGCAGCACTGTAGCAGTGTGTATCACGGACGATGACATCAACTCAAGATCAACAATTTGACTCAATTTAGTAAAAAGTGGATTTTCTTACAAATTAAGTCAAATTTTCCGAGCTTTGCCAGGAAAAACTTCTCGAATATGAGGAAAATCGACATTATGCTCAGTCCGTATTCTCAGTTTATAGTATACTAATAGACTGAGTGACACCGTGAAGTTTTTCCTAGAAAAGCTCGAAAAAACCACAAACTCGTAAATTGTAAATTGAGCCGAATTCAACTCAATTTGAGTTGATCTCATTTGTTCGTACAGATGTATGAAAGTGATCGACAGTTCGGATAAATTCCTGAAGGTGGCATTATATTTGCTTGTTCACGGACGAGAGCACGGAGCAGATGCGCACAAATCTAGATAGAGCTGGAATTAGGGCGTAACAGCTTTTGTAAACAATGACTTCTCTCGATGATTTCTAGACACTCAATGCTCGCCCAAGCAAATCAACATCACTATCAGGCAGAGGAAGTCTTCCCCTAGCCGATGGTTATGTTGGTTTGCGTTGGCGTGCCTTGAATTCCTAGAAATCATCGGGAAAAGTCATTGTTTACAAAAGCTGTTAGGCCCTAATTCCAGCTCTATCTAGAAATGATCAATTTTCGTCATTACATTAACGGTTGGAATACTTGTCATAGTTTTTAAACATTCAATCATCATACAAGGCAAAGCTCAACATATTCTCGGATCGAAAACTTATATGCCAATAAATTTCAGTGCGATTCAACACCTACTTGAGGCTGTTGGCGGAGCGATTTCCATCGGATATTTTTGAAAATTTTGTAAGCTCCAAGATCTTAACAGACCTACAAAACCCGCCATTTTGGAAAAAATGGCTTGATGATGTAGATTTAAAAACTTGGCATGGTGAGGTATAGGCACCAGTGCTGAGATTTGTCATTGTCATTGACAGACTTTCGCACGATATTGACAAAATTGTTTTTCACATAGTCGCTGACAGACTTGATCCTCAAAAAAACCTTCGTCAAAATCTTATTCATTTTTTCGTCAATGACAAAGATTAACCTGGTAACAAAAAGGGTAATTTCGTGCATTCTGTGTCACATTATTGTTGTCCAAGCAGTGCAGGACGTAGATGCTTGTTCAAATTAACGGCTCCATGTAATTGTGTTGCTCAAGCTATTTAATTTCGTTACAAATTCAGTTAATAAAAATTCTACACATGGTTTGCCTTGACGATGACTGTTAGCTCAAATGAGTGACCAAAGTTGAATTGTCAATATCATGTGTATTGTAGAGATTTTGCAGTACTGAGGCACCGACAAACCGACATGAAACTTAAACTTAACTCTTGATCGAGAATCTATAACGGCCGATTCAAATGTGCAGCGTTCCCATCTGTCAAAACCATAGAAACTTTTTATCTAGATAAAATAATTTGTCCGAAATAGATTAGACACGAACCAACTGATAAATTTTGTACTCGTCTTCGTGGCTAGGATAAATATTGTCCGCGAACACGGCGGCAGATGTCAGTTTTGTGCTTTGATCAGAAATTTCTTTATAATTTTTATGATCATTCAGGTCGGTTTGTCGATGGTATAGGCATGTCTATTAGACCTGTTAATTTTAACAGGTTCGGGATGCATCGGGTCAGCCGTGATTACTGTTCGTCATGTTTATAAGAACTTTTGTGCAAATTTAGAGCAAAATCGGTGATGATTTAGAGGTGCTTCAAGTTAATTTTATGTTTTTTTTAATCTTCACGAAAACTATGCTTGAACGAAATTTCTAAAACAGCATAAGGAACATACACATTTTTTATATCATATGGGTGAAAAGTTCGTAGAACAAATACTTTAAAATTCTTCACTTCGAGCATGAAACTAAGTCAAACTTCAATCAAATCACTTTGAATAGTCAACCTTTGGTCACAAAGTTGGTAGATATCACATTAAGCTTTGTTATGAAAGCTTTTACAGCAGTTTTCGTTGTTTCAGTCTCGAGATACAAATATTATAAGCCGTAAATTACCTAAAAACATAAAATTAACTTGAAGCACCTCTAAATCATCACCGGTTTTGCTGAAAATTTGCACATTAGTTAAAATTAACATGACGAACAGTAATCACGGTTGACCCGGTGCATCTTAAACATTTCTGTTGAAATAACCCGGTCTAATGTCTATGTCTATTTATCGATAAATAAAAACAATTAACATCATTCGTTTTCTACCGCACCAAAACGTGCAATCTATAATTCTTTGAAATATTTGATTGTATGTATCAATATTGCAAATCCTCCACTCAGGCAAGGTTGCAAATACTCATTTCAGCTAAAACAATGTTATTTTTAATTATGAAATAATTAGATGCCATGATCATATTTTGGATTCGGTAGGATACAAGAAGAGGTTGCAAAGAATGTGTTTGACATATTAAACCTGTTTATTTCACTTCATGAGAGTCACAATCAGAGATTTTTCACACACTCACTCATTCACTCACTCACTCACTCAGCGATCAGCAAATCGCTGATTGTGACTCATAGAAAGCAAAATTTACAGGTTTTATGTTTCCAACGCATACTTTGTAACCTCTTCTTGTAAGTTACAAGTAAAACATGCCATCATACCATCTTTTGGTTTTATTATTCCGAAAAACATTATTTTAGCTGAAATGAGTATTTGCAACCTTGCACTCAGGTCACGATACAATATTTGAATTTAGGAAAAATCAGAGAATTTCTTTCCAATTTTTATCAACTGTGGAAATTTTCATAGATTTTTTAATCTGATTTTATGGATTACTGATAGCTTTTTTTTTATTTATTTCAAGCAAAAATAGACTACATACAATGGTTACAATGTTGCTATGCATTATAACTACTTATCATTTTGCTACACAATGTTCCTTCTAAAATGCTTGGTTCATAAGTTATGAATTTTCAAAATTTGTAATGTCCGTAAAAATCAAAAATATCAACTTAAATTTTTCGGGAAAATTAACTGCATGCAAATATAAAGTTCCAGTTGTAGTTGTAGTTGTTCTAGTTGTATGTTTTGAGAGCTGATATTTGAAATCTTGAAATGTCTAGATTATAATGAGATTGATCAGAGTTAAAAAAATCTCTTTTACTACGTAGCTACTCTGATTAAGTGTCATGCCCGTGTTTTTTTAGTCAGACGAGCGGAGCGACGGGCAAGCTTCTAGATTAAGTTTCAAAAGAAAAAGCACCTTAAGAAACAGCTTCTTAAGAAACCGCTTCTAAGGAAATAGCTTCAAAAAAAAAGGAAAATTTAAAAAGAAGTTTCTAATAGTAAATTCTACAGAAAAAAACTTTTTAAAGAAGCTTCTAGAAGCAGCATTTAAACAAGAAGCTTACTCCTCCGAAAAAATAAAGACGTTTTAATTATTCAAAAATTATTGAAAACATACAAAAAAAAAACAAGTTTTTTTCTTATTTTCTAAACAAAATTTACGTGAAAACATTTTTATTAGGACATCATAGCATAAAGTTGGACTCAAAAATCCACAAAACATCGACATTTCGGTTGCTGAGGGTGCATTTTTTTTCATGATGGAATAGAAAAAATATGTTTATACAAGTAATTTTTCTCATAAACCTAAGGAAAATCCAGATTTTCTTGGATATTTGATATCTTTTGTCAATTTTCTTAGAAAAAGAAAAGAAGCTTCTTTTCGACGGTAATTCTAGACACTTGCCCGTCGCTCCGC